ATAAAGTTGGGTTGCGCGTTAGTGAGCGGATTCCAATGGATATCTAGTCACAACCTTACTTCTCATGTCGCCGAAGAGATTTTGCAATCTCTTCAGGACAGACAATATCATTTTTTTAAAGAATATATATATATATATATATACCAGTTTGTTTTTCACGGAAGACTCACCTGAATCCCAGCTGAATCTCCCGTCTATGATGTGTGAATGAGTATATTTGAGAATTCTATCCAATCTGGGTTCAATCAGGACATAAAGTTGAGGGATACACGAGACTGTGTCCACCTGGTGAGTTCCAAGAAGGGTGAGGCTGGTCATGGGTCTGGAGAGTTTTCCGAAACCTTATGGCTAGTGCGTTACAGCTGTACAGTTATTTTTTTAAAGTTTCAACTGATGCAGTATTCTAAAACGGGTCTGCTGTATTTCACTCGGCTGTTCCGCGTCAGATCGATTTGCACTTTCCTACTATTGCTTACCAACTACGCCTTCTGAATTTTAAGGATACACCGAAGTGGTAAGGCAGTGTGATGCGGAAAAGTAAGCCACACTCAGTGATCCTCAATGCACTGCGATGAGCTGAGCCGGACTGGTCCATAAATCAGCTAGCTTCGTTGCAGAATCAAGCAAGGTGACCTTGAAGTGTGTGAAAAGCAGGTGGATGGTTTAAACGATCATTGTGTCAAGCCCACCCATGAGTCACGGCTTGTACGAATGGTGTCTTTGCGCGATAAGGTTGCAGCAAGCCTTGACTGAAGCGAAATCAGGTGCCGGTCATGAAAGACTTATGCACTCATCACTACGCTTTCGCTGTCACGCCATCCACCTTACGTACTGATTTTGAGTGGGGAGATAAGGTGTCGGTGGGCTAGTTTACTCGGTTTCGCCTGTCACGGTGGGCCTACCGCATTGTTTTACAGCACTGTCGGATCATAGTCGAAGTGGTGGCCGTCGTCGCCTCGGTTCACTCGGTTTGATTAGGCTTCTGGCCTGTGAACTAAGGCGATAACTGTACTCATTCGAGTGGTAGCCGGAACTTACTCCGATTGAAACACACGATTGGGGTGGACAGGAGCGATGCACGATAAAAGCAAACATGGGCTAATGCATGTGGTTCGGTTCTCAGTTCTCTTCTAAGGTGAACGAATCAGTGGTGTGCTGACTGATGGATCAAGTGCGATATGGTGTTTGAGCTTGGTGCTTCTGAAATCCAAAGAATCTGTGACGAGAACTCCGTCCAGACTGGTTTGCAGTGAGTTTGAACTGGACTTACAAGTGAATATCCGTGGGCTTCTCGCTTGGGTACAAACAATACCAAATCCTTCACAGTCATCCAGGAATTAGAAAAGTCAAGCCAAACCAAGTCAAGTTACCTAACGTAAAACTTTATGCATCTCAAGAATCTTTAGCATACAATCTTACGATGGTATCATATGTAAATGATAATACTGGTCGACCCACCTACAAAAACTTGAGATCGTTTACTCCCAGCGGAAGAGTTTTCCGCTTCATTTCACTCCTCGCAAGCTTGTCGGTGAACAGCGGGGTGTCGGTTGGATGCACGAGATAGTGAACATGAATAAATTATAGTTGTTCTTCTCTGCGACTCGACCTTCCTCGGTGATCACACTCTTCCAAACTGACCGAATACCACTGGTCCATTGAGATTTTATTTAAATACTAGGATCTTGGAAAGGTTACGGTAGTGTAGCAGCAGTGTTGAACACTGATGTCATGCTGTCGATGTAGTGTGTGTGTAGTGTGTATCTTGGAAAGGTCAATCTTCAATTGGAACCAATTTATGGGACGAATTCTCGTCACCACCAACTCAGAAAAAAACAAATATTATCTAGCATCTTGCATGTATGGCTGCACCCAAAGCAGACTAACAAGACCATTACCGACCAAACGATTTTTTTTCAACCAGTTGTGATTATTCCCAGCGGATCTGAAAATCACCAAGCAATGGGCTTGAATTCCGACCGGTTCAAGTCGGGTGAATTACATTCAGTTGGTTCAGTTAGGGTTGAAAATATTTCACGATTTCTCGTTCCGAAATGTTTGCAACCTGTATACGGAATTTCATTCTTATCTGAAAGTCCGAACCTTCTCTTAAAAGTAACTTACTCCGGTCAGCTCTAATTGCACTTGAGACAGTATCCACCGGATGAGTTGCTCTTAACAGCAAGATTACCGGAAAACCTACCACCCTATTAGCACCAAAGTAGAGTTTTTGTTGCAGTCCTAATTCTACATTGATCTAATTGGTTTGTTTAGAACAGCCAGTGTCGTCCTCCATTGCGCTTTCAAACACAATGGCAGTTTTATTAATCTATTTTAAGACAAATTTCAGTTCCTGAGACTTACTAAAATATCTTCAAAAAATTTCATTGATCCCATGTTTCGATCATAGATACTAACCTAACGTATTCCGCTGTACCATGACACACCCATCGAACGCACGCTCGTCGTGCATGGTCTTCACTCAAGAACCTAAGCTCCTTCACTAAAGGCGTTCTACCAGGATGGCACATATTTTTTGTGGGCTGTTAAGCCTAATTTAAGTTCGAATTTGAGTCAGTCTAATCACCACCACGGTTACTGTGACACGGTGGCCCATAAGCGCGGTTGGCTAAGAGCGTAACGAACGTTCTCGTGATTCTAACAAGCCCCTGACTATATTGTCACGTTCAGGGTCAGTGGAAGTGTCGGACTCGTACTGCGGTCTCCTTCAGCTACCATGACAACAAACGAATGGGCTCGTATAGTGATCGTACCATTTTGCGATTGTGCCTTTTCTGTCCCAGGACAGAATTTGGAAACTGTGACTCTACTCGGGCATAGTTACTTTCGGTAATGCCGTAGCAACCAAACCACCAGACTGATATGAGCGGAATCTGAGACTTGGGTCTACGCAGCACAGGAGAAAAGGTCACAATACGACAGGTCGATATCTCGTTTGCAACAGATGTTAACATGGAGAAATTAAAAGCGGTAGAAAAACTGATGTGATACACCTGGTTTTAAATGTGAAATCTCAGAATTTCCCCACTCGCTTCATCTAGCGGTCATGTAACCCACACACATCAGTTTGTGACTGAAAAGGAAGGTGTTACGATTACAGATGATTTTTCACTCGGCTGGGACACAGAACAATAGAATCTCGATTTTATGCATGAGCCCGTGCAACGTGTCAGTTTAGTGTGAGCACCTTACCACTGACCGCACAAGACCATTCCCTTAGTTCCTGTTCACGGCTCACGAGTATTCCTCATTTGTATGTGGTCCGAGATACCTATCATTTTCAGTTACTTAGCACTGGACTAAAGCTTGATTATTCAACCCTTCCTAACTGGGTGTTGCGTGTGAATTCCCCGTCCTTACGTCTTTCAAATACCTTTTGTCATTTCTTTAATAAACCCAACACTGGGGTAACCGAAATTGTGTCCTTCCTTTCCATCCGTTCCATCATCATATGAAAAACAAGCTACTCTGCTCGGATTTAGCACCCAGAACATGAGCTCATATAAGCATACTCTTCGTCGGTTTTGTCATTCAAGAGGTGTCTGACCGACATGCACCATTCCCGCCAGTCAACAGCACTTTTATCTGTCACGCACATGGACATAATGCTGTAATACGGTCTCCATCCTATTGCTAAATTGAAGACCAGTTTATCTAGGTCCGGTTCATCTCCAAGTTGATGGTCACACTAGAGCGAAGATATTTATCCAATGCATGAACTGAGTGTTGCACGCACTGAATGTTAAGAGAAGATAGAGAACCGCCCAATCTTGACTTGCACCACTTCCGTGACCATGCATTTATTCACAGGGTGACTGAATGAAGCGATTGATTAATCTCACGTGAATAGTATCGATGAGTCCAGTTGATACTTCGAAGAAAATTTCTTTCGAATTTCTGCTTGTGTATCAGCATTCTTTTGAAATAGGACTCCTGTACCTTTCTTCAGAAGAGCACAGAAATTCTTCAACGACCAATTGATTTAGTTCCTGGATATATTTGGATTTTTCTAAATGTACTTCCTCCTTAAGAGAACCTCGTAGAAAGCAACATAGAAAACACAGTTCGAGAAGACTGCCGCGGTCATTTCACCGGCCTGTGAAGGTTTCAGTCAGGAAATTATTAACGTTTGTGCTTTGTCTGGACCCCATCGAGTGGCGTTCACGAAAGCGTATTCCGTCTTATTTCGGTGAAGACCCCCCCCCCCTAACACAGTACCTAAGTGTCGCTGAGCCCCAAACTATGACGTTTTCCTATCAGTCTACTCTCGAGAATCTCAGTCCAAACTATTCACCTGAGGACTATGTACTGACCGATGGGGATTGACTTTCACTAGTCTCCCTCGATCCCAATTGTATGAATTAGAAGCAGTCCCGCTGAGGTGGAAAATAGCCCTGTTTTGTAAATAGCACACACCATAGTTCCACTTTGTCCACACATCAGAAACACAGTTCTTCTCCTCTTGAACCCCTCTAATTCAACTACGAACGACCGTCGCCGTGAATGGGCTAAACTTGTTCTCAGAACTCACCATATAGGCAAATGCGGTAGTTTACTCAAGTACCAGTATTACACACACGCAGACACACACACATCCGGTGAAATGCAACGATGCGCACCCCTATGCAAATTAGACGGTCACAATATTGTCAGTAAATGGTTTTGTGTTCACCGTCTTAAAGACTTCTAAATAGGTACCCTGGTCGTTTGGCAACCGAAACTAGGTCGAATCTACGGGCTATTTGATTGATATTCCTCCACTTTGGTAAAGCAAAGCCACCATCTGACCCTCGTTCCTTAGCTGACCAAAATGTGACTGCCTTTTTCGATATTTGAAAACCTGTGACAGCTGAGGCTAGTCGTGGGCACAACCATTTCACGTTGGCTCCAGTCATGTAGCCACACCTATCAATCCGAGTAGGGTGTTCATCTGTAGTCCGAAGCGCAATCGGTCCTAGCAGGTCGCCTTGGCGACTTACCTGCGCCAGCACCAGTCCAACTGTGATTTGACCGGGTGACATACCGATGCGGTAGACCCAGGCTGAGAAGAGAAAGCCGAGATCATTGGGGTGAGATCATTGATACTCACCATCACTTCAAACTAAAAAAAAACTCACTCGGGTTTGACTTGGTTACCCAATGGTCCGGATTTTTTCAAATTGATGGCATACTGGACAAGGGATTTTTAAATTTGTTTGGACCGGGTAAAATCTCCGTCCCCTCTTCCATCATGTGCACCATCGATGCGATTTTTTGTGCCTGATTAGTTTATTGCATGTTCTGACGATTAGCCTGGTTACCGACCTCTGAACGAATAGACAAAGATTGGATTTATGTTGCACATAACAGAAGTGTATTTAGTAGATCCCCACGGCATCAAAAAACCAACATGTCAGTTTTTTTAAACGTCTCGGCCATTTACATCAAGCAAGCGCTTGGATATATTGTCACGGCGGAGTGGATTTGCCTTCACTAGATAAAACTCACTAAAAACGCTAGACATTCCTTTCAACAACGAAGTACTGTGAGAAACCTGTGGAATCATGAGCGTTATTGCTACGTCAACTCTGCTGCCACCCTATGACCCCTGAAATGCAAATGCGCACGCTCACTCATCCGAATTTTTACTTCTGTTTGGGTGAACATTTTCACGCTTGACTGATGTGATGTGGACTCATCAGAATGATTACACTAGGACAGAAAGACGATTGTTCAAACGAGAGTCATGCGAATGTGCATTCAACATAATCCCGCGACCACTAACACCTAAAGACTACATATCTTGAAATGCTTGCATAGATCAACGTACACCAGCATAGCTGCAACATTTGTTTCAGTGAATGATGCTCTCCTTTAAATTCATGTTTGTGTGCTCCGCCCACTTCCAGCCTCACTGGAACACTTCTATTCTCGGGATTTTTTGTCGACAGACCTCAAAAGTGGAAGCTTCAAGCTTTCGTGGTAGTGCTACACCAGCGCAACATCTGTGGTTCCGATTGAACGGATTTACACACAATAAAGTGTGGCGAGCTGGACTGTTTACCGATCTGACAGAGATTGAAAAATGGTCCACCTATTGTCAGGCTTGCATGTTATCTAGTCCATTTACTATGGACACTTGCTTCGTACACTGACGTTTTCAGCCTCTATCACCTCTCCGCCTGTGTTAAAATGATGGTTGTCTGAAGGTTGCAAATAACAGGTTATCGGTTTTTGGTGTTTATGTCGAGGGGTTCCACATCAGACTGTCGGTATAACCTCGAGGTGGGGGCGAACGACAGTGAAATTTGACTTATATGTGATTTGTTTTTTATACATCAATTTATCCACTGATTTCGGGACGACTGTTCATGTAACGTGCTGGTCTGGAAAAGGCGGAGCAGTGGTAATCCGTGACTCCCTTCTCGTTGGTTGTAAAAACATACGAAGCTGTGGCACCAATAGTTCCTAAATCAGTCATTCGAATGAAATGCGATGTGACATTTGTGCGTCTCGTCTTTATCACCTTTTTGTTATGCTATTCTAGTGACAGTGCTACCGTCTTGTATGTGAAATTAACCAGTCTTCAACCGACAAGTCCCGATAGATTGAAACCTCGTGTGTTGCCTTTTTTTACGCAAAAGTCTCTTCAGAAATGCAGTATGTTCGCTGATTGGATTCGGCCTTCATAGGTGTTTAGGAGCAATCCGTACGAACTATCTGAATTATGGAATAGACGAGTTCATAAGAGAACAAGGCGGGAACTATGTCCAAGGCACTCACGGGGACCAAACTCGATTCGTGCGTTGAACTACTCGTGCCCAAGTCTTTCGCTTGTTTTGCCCCGAAGTGGGATATGCGCTATCCCAGAATGATGGCGATCTCCATACATATCTTAATCTATTGAGCAAAGACAGGTTTGACGGCTTCTTTAGCGAACAATCCAATCCCTGGTGTCCTCAACACCCAAATCTTTGGTGAAAATAACATGGAATTTCAAACTGGGGCATGATAAACGATTAATCCATGAATCAGATCGGTGTAACTGAATGAACATAGTCAATATTAACCATACTGACCACTCAATATTGGGAGTTTTGACGGTCTGATCCAAGTCAAGTTCTCTTAGAGAAACAACCACAGTTTATAGAAATACACTACATCATATGTTGTTACAGTAGGCTGTCCTCTTCTCACAGGTCCATTCCAGTGATCCGTTACTTCTTCCTGCAAGTCGTCTTCTGTTTCAGTGAAGAAAGCCTCTAGGTACGAGTTCGTCAAACTTCTGGTCAACCAATGATGTTCAACCACTAGCCAGAAGGCTGTGAGTTAATATCTCACTAGTGGTTCGTGAGATCCGTACCGATGGTGATTCTCAGCTATGAATTGTCCAGATTAGTTTCATTCAACTGAAATTCCGGAATTTCTCACCACCTGCCAACCATGATACACCATAACAACGTACTCTACAAAATGATAAGACAGGAAAGGTTCTTTATCCGTCCTTCTTGGCGAATATGTCTGACATTCTTCATTTGAGGGCAATTCTACAATCCGTAATCCATTTGTAGCACTTGTAAACTGCTGTTTTTCATGCTCAATATCATCTTCCTTTTCCCTATCAATATCAGTCACATTATTGTATGAGACTTTTTTTTTACTGAAAGACAACCGCAATCGCCCGCTTCTTGGGCCCAACGTGACTTTTGCTGAGTGACTGTTGTTGTGACTGCTGGTTGGCTATAATCTAAACGTGAACAAAAAATTTAGCTACAAACACTGGACTAATCTATTCACACCTGTGGATTAATATTGCGATCACCGGGGATTTGGAATACCTGGAAGGCAGAACTTCTTTTGGTGTGGTGGTTCAACGGAATAAGGAACTACGGAATCACCTATTGTGAACTGTGAATCAAGATTTAGTTGGATTTTTCTCCTTGTGACTTTGTATCTGGCTTACATTGTTAATTTGTTCTGTTCACTAGAGACTCCTTAGGGACGTTAACCACTACACATTCTCTCGACAACAACCACTTAATGGCAAGGACATCCACCAACCTACATAACTCGCGAAAAAGTGCACACAGGTGTTCAGCCATTGGTGTGAGCACGGAGGTGGGTTATGCTTTCGTGCGATGATGTGACGTGCAGTCTAGCTAGTTGCTTTATGTGAGGACCTTCCGTCGGTTTATCAGGCCAAGTAACATGCACCCCGATTTCCTTTCCAGACCATTTTTCTTAGGGTTTCTTGCGATCCACACCTTATACCGCATGATTCAAGATGGTGGCAGATACAAAAACCTCAGCAGATGGAAAAAATTGATCCGTCTTCTATGTAAATCAGTGTGTGTGCACATGCTTGCCATGAGAAAAAGAAAACAACCTATCAGGTTGAGAGTACAAATGCAGGAATTGATCCGTTATAACTGTGAAATCTGAGTTTTGTGTGGAAGATCCTAACTTAATTAGACAGTCTGTTGGAGAGAAATCGTGCCAAAAAATGGAAGAACAACGAGGCATCGTCATTATCCTATGTTCCACTCTCAGTGCCCAAGTATATCATGCAACACCTTTGGCTGCCATACATATCTTAATCTATTGAGCAAAGACAGGTTTGACGGCTTCTTTAGCGAACAATCCAATCCCTGGTGTCCTCAACACCCAAATCTTTGGTGAAAATAACATGGAATTTCAAACTGGGGCATGATAAACGATTAATCCATGAATCAGATCGGTGTAACTGAATGAACATAGTCAATATTAACCATACTGACCACTCAATATTGGGAGTTTTGACGGTCTGATCCAAGTCAAGTTCTCTTAGAGAAACAACCACAGTTTATAGAAATACACTACATCATATGTTGTTACAGTAGGCTGTCCTCTTCTCACAGGTCCATTCCAGTGATCCGTTACTTCTTCCTGCAAGTCGTCTTCTGTTTCAGTGAAGAAAGCCTCTAGGTACGAGTTCGTCAAACTTCTGGTCAACCAATGATGTTCAACCACTAGCCAGAAGGCTGTGAGTTAATATCTCACTAGTGGTTCGTGAGATCCGTACCGATGGTGATTCTCAGCTATGAATTGTCCAGATTAGTTTCATTCAACTGAAATTCCGGAATTTCTCACCACCTGCCAACCATGATACACCATAACAACGTACTCTACAAAATGATAAGACAGGAAAGGTTCTTTATCCGTCCTTCTTGGCGAATATGTCTGACATTCTTCATTTGAGGGCAATTCTACAATCCGTAATCCATTTGTAGCACTTGTAAACTGCTGTTTTTCATGCTCAATATCATCTTCCTTTTCCCTATCAATATCAGTCACATTATTGTATGAGACTTTTTTTTTACTGAAAGACAACCGCAATCGCCCGCTTCTTGGGCCCAACGTGACTTTTGCTGAGTGACTGTTGTTGTGACTGCTGGTTGGCTATAATCTAAACGTGAACAAAAAATTTAGCTACAAACACTGGACTAATCTATTCACACCTGTGGATTAATATTGCGATCACCGGGGATTTGGAATACCTGGAAGGCAGAACTTCTTTTGGTGTGGTGGTTCAACGGAATAAGGAACTACGGAATCACCTATTGTGAACTGTGAATCAAGATTTAGTTGGATTTTTCTCCTTGTGACTTTGTATCTGGCTTACATTGTTAATTTGTTCTGTTCACTAGAGACTCCTTAGGGACGTTAACCACTACACATTCTCTCGACAACAACCACTTAATGGCAAGGACATCCACCAACCTACATAACTCGCGAAAAAGTGCACACAGGTGTTCAGCCATTGGTGTGAGCACGGAGGTGGGTTATGCTTTCGTGCGATGATGTGACGTGCAGTCTAGCTAGTTGCTTTATGTGAGGACCTTCCGTCGGTTTATCAGGCCAAGTAACATGCACCCCGTCGCCAATGTGACAACAGAGATTCAACGCATACTCCAATCAGTCGTTACAACCAAGGTTACCGTTTGCACTGTCTACCGCGATGCCCGATTACACCATTCTATTGGGCGTTAGGACGCCCATTCCTTTCCGCGTAGATGTGTTTCA